GAAGAAAGTGGTTTATTTTTATGGTGGGTGTTACACTAAGGGGGTGTCATACTAGAGAGCAGATGTTACAAATAATTCAAGTGCAATCCATGTTTTTCTTTATTAATAACGTTTTTTGCAAACTTCCAAAACTTGCTTACTACTCAAATGTTATTACAGTATATAATATTTACTGTTTCTCATGTTCCTTTTTGTAATCAATGCTAGTAAAAGCTACTTTTTACTTTACTATTGAAACATATTCACCCACTTTGTATGTGTCATGCTACTTTAGAAGTACTCCACAGACCTGCCTGTTGTCATTTAATTGTATAGGAATAAACAGGTACCTAAAGCCTGAGCTCTTTCCTGTGTGTGGGAGGGAACAGTGAGGTTATGTTTACGCATGGACTGATGCTGAGCTACCTGCTATCACATCCAGTCCTTTGAGTTGCCACAAACAGTCACACAGGAGAGTTCTCCATTCAATTAATGTCAAACACGGCTGTTCCTGAAGGCCGCTTCTCTTACCAGAAGAAAATCTTGGAGAGAAGATTAGCTGAAGCCAACGGATTATCCTTCTCCTCCTTCCGCACTTGTTCCATGCCCCCCACCAGTAAAAGCGACCTGAGGACTTTCTCTTCAGGCTATGTGGCGGGGGGATATCGACAGAAACTCAGAGGAGGTCAACCCTGAGAGAACAGATGCTGTGAACTCCAATGCTTGCCAATGTCATCCCCTCAGACATCCAGGACAGGATTACTAATGGACACACTGGCTTGGCAGTCAGGTGAGCGGGGCACTGCTTAGCCCCGCCCACCGCCTCAGGATTGGCTCACTGAAGTCTCCATCACTTCTCAAAGTCCTTCATGAACTCTTGTCCTTTCTTACCCAGTCATTATGTACACAAAAGTACTACAAATAAAGTGAAATGTCATCCGAAATTAATCAGAAGTAGAAGTCCTCATGCATGAATTATACTGATAGTGTGTATATGATTTGTGATAGATTGTTGTTAAACTAGATTATTTCATTTCATTGTTTTTATTACATTTTTAAGCGTTTTAGTTTATTTTAAAACTCACCTGTATTTAGTGTTAGATGTTAGCCTGTTTCGTTGGAGATCATTTCAACTACTCTATGTTATTGATATTAAGTACTTTTCTTAAATAATAAGGGGAAAGTATACCAGTCTAGTAGCAAGGTTATTAAAATATTTTCAATAACTTGGTTCAAGGATTTCCCAGAAAAAAGTGTGAGAATCTTTGAAGCAAGAATCAAGAAGAAAATAAATGTATTCTTCAAATAGTTTAGAAGAAAATAAGACTGTAATGACTCAGTAACATGCAATCACTTATTCTTCTTCTTTGTGCTTTACAGATATATGTGTATATAAAATGTTGACTGATAGCAGTCTCAGGATATACATATGTATTTATTTTTCAAGGAAGGTAGGCCTAGAAAAGTGACATAGATAGAGAGTTATTTTTCACAACCTTGTGTCTAAATGAAGATTTGTTTACATTAAAGGTCCTAACAACAATTTCTGTTGAATTTACTGAATTAGAAATGTTTACCAATAAACTTTTGATCTTAATTTGTTCTCAAATATTAACCTACTCCTACTGTCTTAGTTTCACGTAATATTTATTTATTGAGGTCGACGACACAATTGAACTGATTTTGTTCTCCTCTCTCTTTTTACTAGTGGCTTTATTTTTCTTATTCTATTTTTGGTTAAAAAAACAATGCTCTCATGAGTGACAACAACATGTGTTTACATATAAGCTGACAATCATTAGTCCACTGCTTGAATCCTATCCAGAAATAGATGAACCAGTAACTGGACTTTGTCACATTTCTTCTTCTTTTGAGGATTAATGATTACTCCTTTATTTTTGTTATGTTAATATGGTACTTGACCTTATTTCTAGACCAAAACGTGCATTTAAAACACTGCTTGCCAACATTTAATGAATAACTGACAGCTCATTTTTCCTTCAGACTGTGTCCATCCCTCACCACTAGAGACACGGTAAAGATGTCCTGTTTGTTAATGATCTCAATGAAACACATGTCCACAGTGTAATTTGCCTGCCTGGGGCCATTTTATTTCTTCTCATTTTCCTGAATCTGCTAAAAGACTTTAAACATATCGTAAAGCTCCAAATGTCAAGCTTGCAGATCATGGCTCTTCTCAGCGGCCTGGCCGGGTTGGGGGCCACTATCGCTGCCACGGTGTCCAACGAATGGAGGGCCACCAGCCGAGCATCCTCAGTCATCACAGCCACCTGGGTGCTCCAGGGTCTCTGGAACAACTGTGCTGGAAATGCCATTGGAGCGCTGCACTGCAGACCGCATCATACTATTTTCAAGCTGGAAGGTAAGGGTCCGAGTTTCATGGCGTCCACATATTGGTCTTTTCTCACTCGGGTGCAGGGGATATACCGTGGAGGGGTTTTATGAAATGTTCCTTATGCCTAACACTAGATATTTTTGGCTACAGGGACAAATGTATCACCTTTGTTTCACAGGCAAATATGTGCTATATCGAGAACCATTCATTTGTTGGCAACATTTATTCAGAATTTAGACCCAGTGTAAATTAATCTAATGTATATTTTTAAGTAGTGGTTTATAAGTAAACTTTCATCAAAAACATAATTTTTAAGTGGTCGTTATTAAGTATCTCTCGTAGAGGATGGCTCTGAAAGCTTTTTCTTTCAATTTGTTAGGGAAATAATCAGATTATCTCTGTAATCTAAATCTTGAGTCTCAGATTGTGTCGCTGGTCACAGATATCTGTTAAAAAATAAAAAAGACAAAAACAAGTTATACCTGTTTCCATAATGAAATGATCAACATATTTTACTGGTGATTGTTTATATAATCACAATCTATTACTTTTTTAATTCAAATTTAGGATTAGAAAAAACTAAATTCAGGCAGAAAAAGAGTTCCAGATTATGGCTCAGGTCTTAACTGTAGCAAATGTTTAATCCTTTTTTGGACATTTCAATCTGGGAGTGTCTGTGTCACAGTTTACACTCAAAGACCTGTTGTTGGCAGTAACAAACCAGTCAGGAAGGAAATAATTGTCAGACTGCTTTCCATTCAAACAATTCACTTACTTTGTGCATCCTTTAATTTTTTTGTAATGTTGTTTATTCACATACTTTTACATTACATTGCATTTAGCTGACGCTTTTATCCAAAGCGACTTACAATAAGTACATTCGACCAGGAAGACACAAACTTGAAGAAAACAGAATCATATAAGTACATCAGGTTTCATAGAGCCAAACATTTCAAGTGCTACTCAACTGGCTTTAGATAAGCCAGTCCTTTATTAGTATATAAGTGCTTTGTTAGCAGTTCTTTGTTAGTAATTCTATCGCTCGAAGTGGAGTCGAAAGAGATGAGTTTTCAGTCTGCGCTGGAAGATGTGCAGGCTTTCTGCTGTCCTGATTTCAATGGGGAGCTCATTCCACCACTTGACACTTGATGCGTGATAATGAAGGCATTTAGTTATTTTTGTCCATAATTAGACATTCCTTGATATGCACAACAAGTTACTCTTTTTGCTAGTTTGTTAGGGAGTTGTATTAGTTTAATGCTTAGCTAGTTATATCGTTTTATATAATTTATAGTTTTAACCCATTTTCTGTTCTTTTCTTTTCTGGTATTTCTTTCAATATGCTGAAAATATTCAAATTCCCTGTCTTTAAAACTTAATTTGAAGATAAAATGTGCTTCATATAAATGTCTCTTTACAATCATTTAATCCAGGAAGATGTTGTTTTACGGCATACCTTAAAAAATAAACAACTATTACAGAGTGTTGTGTGCTTACAGTAACATTATATGAATAATAAAACATGTATATTAAGCAACCAGTCATGCCAACATTATCTGAGTTTTTTAATTGTAACTGTATTGTAATATTATATTTTCACTGTACTATGTATTCTTTTATTGACCTGTACTTAAATCATGTTTTATAATTGTTTGTGTGATAGAGATTATGCAATGTTTTTAGTGTTTGTTGATTGTTATGTACCTGCGACTGCAGATGGAAATGAGCTAGTAGCTATAATCTGGCGTAATTCATATCTTGTTTTTTCTGAGATTAATATATTTGTATGCATGGTCCTTGTTGAAATAAATACATTATAATAATATGGCCTAATGCCACCAGATGGGGCTCCTTCTCAAATTAGAAAAAGCCTTTTTGCTTAATTTCCCTCTTGTTTGCTTCTTATCTGTAAAGCATATATTTTTAACTTTGCCTTGCCTCCATTGATTAACACATGTCTCTGTAATGTAACAGAAAGCTTGTTTCATCCAAATGCTGGGACACCGTAGTAAGTGACATGCTGTTAATAGGTTATCTAAATCCTGTGTCTATTTTAGGTCCTTCAGGAAGTAACTGTTCGCTCGTTGAGTATTAATCGAAGGTGGCAGTGCAAGGTTAAATGTCAAAGGGTCAAATTCACTGTACTGTAACCCATCGCAAATGTTTGATCTGTATCTTTGGCTTCTTGAAACTGTTTTTTATTTAATTCCCAAAATAATCAAAGATATGTGAAGATTCAGATGCACATGTTTAATGCCAGATATAATCAACAAATATCATGTATTATTATTATTTTAAGCACGATAATGCATAAATAATAAGTTTAACTTTTGCAACTTTAAGTATACCTTAATGCTAGTACTTCTGTACATGTATACTTTTGAAAAAAATATATTTACTTGTGACACAGTTATTCTACACAGCGGTATTGCTACTACACCTAAGTAAAATATCACACAGAGCAAACAATTAATACATTTTAAAAGTAATTTCTGATGTCGTCACAATACTTTCTACATCCAGAACATTCAGTCCCCATCATCTATGAGAGCGAGTCACAGTCACGTGCACTGGAGGAAAATAGACCATTGGCCACTTGTCGATGTTTAAGGCCAAACTCCTCCTACAGAATATAACAGTCCACAACACATTAACTATCAATCACAGCCGATCCATGGAACTTACTGGTGCAGAGTTTAGCTACATTGTTAACAAGCTTTACTAGCAAGGGAACCATTAATCAATTGAAGGTCTCACTAACCTAATTGGCCGTCACACAGCAGAGTGGAAGAGTCCTCTCTGCAGAAAGAGCAGCATGTTTCAGGAGATATTGGCCTATATTTTAAGCACTTCGGGCTGGGTGCTGGTCTCCTCCACCTTACCGACGGACTACTGGAAGGTTTCTTCACTTGATGGAACAGTTATCACCACAGCTACCTACTGGTCGAATCTCTGGAAGACCTGCGTCACCGATTCAACTGGAGTCTCCAACTGCAAAGACTTTGCCTCGATGCTGGCACTGGATGGTCGGCCATTTTTCCCTTTCTTATTTGATTTTTAGTTTTCCTTTTCTGGTCAATCAGGTTGAGGTTTATTTTCTGATTTCTGTGCCATATAAGTGTTCAACCTCAGTTCCTACTTGTTGAAACTCATTGCCACTCGGGACTAATAGATACCCTAAGGCTTATTATTCAAGGAACAACTCATTTACCTTCAAATATGTCAATGTTTAGCCCCGTTTGTGAGGCTTGAAAGCTATAAAGGAGATTTACTAGGAACCTCGGGTGGTTTCTTCCACAGCTGACTGGTTTTAGGGGTTAACTTCCAAGGTAATCTTCGCCTCAAAATCACATCTGAATGGGACATTTTATACCAGAAGAGTAACCGCAAAGTGTCTGAAAACAATTAGGGATACTTGACAAATAGTTTTCCTTGCTTTATGTGTATATTGGTTACAAGTTCAATAACCCATTGACCTTTCAGTGTGCCGTTGTGAAAGTAGAGGACATGCAAAACCAAAGAACACTTTGCACAGAGTTGACCTTCATTTTTTCAATTTTCAGGCTACATCCAAGCTTGCAGAGGACTGATGATTTCAGCCATTTGTTTGGGATTTTTTGGTTCCACATTTGCTCTTATTGGAATGAAATGCACCAAAATCGGAGGAACCGACAAAAACAAAGCCAGGATTGCCTTCTTTGCTGGTGTAAATTTCCTTTTAAGTGGTAAGTATGGGCAAATTTACTATGGAATATCTGTATCTTTTTCCTTTTGGATGTAGTTACATTCACTTTTCTTTCTTGTTCTTTTTAGGCATCTGCTCACTTTCATCTTGCTCCCTTTATGCTCACCGGATTACATCAGAGTTTTTTGACCCAATGTTTGTTGCACAGAAGTAAGAACTGTCTGACACCCAGTGACTGTTTTATTGTAACTTAACCACTTTAATGATCATTAAGCATCAGTGTTTGTCTGCAGGTATGAACTTGGAGCCGCTCTCTTCATTGGCTGGTCAGGTTCTATCCTCTGTATCCTCGGGGGCACCATGCTCTGTTTCTCCATCGCAGGTTCAAAGAGGTTTGTTTTGGTAACACCAACTGTTATTAATAATGTTAACATCATACAGTATATATGTATTATTCAATTTAGTTGAGCCATGTAGGTGTTTGAGTTATGTAGATGAATCTGTTTTCTGTCTCTTCACAGCCGCAGTCAGGCAAACTATATCTACAAAGGTACTGCTTCTCATATCTCCTCCTACCCGAGAGGGCAGGCAAAGCCTGTGACCCAGAGGCCGCCTCCAGACTACAGCAACTCCTCCAGGATGCAGCACTTTGATAAGAATGTTTATGTGTGAGGAATGTCAATATAAAACACTTGAAGTTGAAGCCACCAATGAATCTTAAAAAATGTAATCTATACTATGTAAAAGATACAGCATACTATGACACATGGTGGTTTCTGTCTAATAGCACACAAATGTACTGAGATTAATCTGGAGCTCATTAGGAATTACATTTAAATATTTAAGTGTTTCTTCCAGGGGTCAGTAGTTCATAGTAGTATGATACAGTTTACTCTCTGATGTTGAGAAATTGCCTATTCTTTTTTTTTAATGTATTTGGCAATAAAGTGTGTTTTAAGACATTTATTTTGCTGGTTGTATCTTTAACTTGTAGTTAATCTGTTGTAAAAATATTTATAAAGTGTTTAAAACACAGATTTTCCTGTGACTAGGATTGTAATACTCCAAGCTAACATGAAGAAGGTTGGGAAAGGACAGCATCATGGTATTTTCTGATTTAAATGTGTATCAATTTTATATAAAAGTGTATGAGTAAGAATAAAAGATACATTTGAATTTCAACAGACTGAAGAGAGCAGCAGTGTTTCTTGAAAATAACACTTTGGACACAAAAATATGTGTGTCTTAGAAACAAAATGGGCTTTTCTAACTACTGTAAATACAAATTAAATGTACTTTTACCATTCATTGCTGGATATAAACCTGAAACAAAAAACCAGGAGTTGGTGTGAATTGCCTAAAGCGGTCACCACACTCCAGAGAGTTGACAGTAAACATCTCACCCAATTGCACAGTGCCCTCATCAACACCAATGGCACACGGCAAACACACAATGTCACCCTGTCCTGAAACAGGAAACCACTCATCATCCTTTGCCCCACAGAGTAGACGTTAAATGTGTTTTCTACTTCTGTTCAACTGAGCGGTAGATACCTGGTTAATTTAGTGATTTCAGAAATGAAGAAACGTCTGATCCAAGTGCTTGGCTTTTTGATGTCATCACTGGGATGGGTGTTCGTGCTTTGCTCCATGGCCATGGACTACTGGAGAATCGTTCAATTAGGAGGACAAGGAGGCTCCTTTATCATCAAAGTGGCCTGGTACTGGTCCAACCTGTGGAAGGATTGTTTCACAGACTCCACGGCTGTCACCAACTGTAGGGACTTCCCCGTGCTCTGGAGTGTGACCCGTAAGTTTTCCACATGTTGCATTAGCAATACGATATGTCTAAGTCTTTCTCTTTGAATTTACAAAGTGATTAACAGATCCATAGTTTGATACTCATAGCAGTTATAGGTAAGTGGTCTCAATGAAACTGAGTAACACCATTGCCTGAAGTGAGACTAATTGACTTTAGAAAGATGAAATAATACAATCTTTGTATTAGAATGTTTGCTAACTGTAGCTTGATATTGTCATGTACCTATTGTAACATTACTGGGTCAGTTAGCTGATGTTGGGATTCTTTACTTGTGCTATTGTCATCCCATCTTTAGGCATAACATTACCTATGATTTAACATTATCTCCTTACTTTGTGTGAATTGCCTGGATCAAAGCCTTGACAAATATTAAAAGCAGAAACTATATAGTATTTATCCTCAATTCTAGATTATTTTGTGTCTGACAGAATTGTAAGGCTGTTTTCTAACTTGAACTATTTATTTCTGTTTCTTAAAGCTTATGTCCAGGGAGTGAGAGGATTACTAATGTGCGGGTTAACTCTTGGGTTCTTCGCAATAGTACTTTGCTTTCTTGGTATGGAGTGTACTTTTATTGGAGGAGCTGAGAAAACCAAGGACAAACTTCTTCTTGCTGGAGCAGTGTTTCATATTGCTGGCAGTGAGTACAAAACAAACACGTGTTTGCCTCTGTAAATGAAATAAGTGTTTTTGTCATCATTATTTCTTAATACCAACTAAACCTCTGCATGCAGGTGTGTCAGATGTTTCTGGCTACTGCTTATACATAAACAGGGTTGCAAGGACAACCTTTGCTGCCACTGTTGGTCCGGGAGTCTTACGGTACACTGATTTTCATCATAAAATTGACAACTGTATAAGAGTATTGCTTGAATTCTATAGACAAATATTACAATATGGACAGTATGTACAATTTATCATGACTTTTGTCTTCCTTTTGAACCAATTCCAGGTATGACATAGGACCTCCCATTTTTCTAGGATTGGTGGGATGTTTTTTAATTCTTTTAGGGGCTTTGTTTTACGCTGTTACAGTCTACCGAGTCATTTTCCCTGAAAGGTATTTCATTCAATTAAATATTCTTCCACCTTCACTAATTTCCTGTGCCTGCTGAATTCCTACCATGTAATACATGTTGGCAATGTTTTGATCTTTCAGGCAAGTATACGCAGGAGGAGGAACATACATGGCGCCTCGCTCCAGAGGAAGAACCCTGTACACCGGATACTACAAACCACCCATGCAGTATGGATCTTATATGGGCTCACGACCGTCCAACAGCTCCAGAATCTCAAAGCTGTCACAGACAACACCCACGAAACTCTCAGAAAGAGACGCATTTGTATAGTAGTTTAAAGCTATTTTTTATGTACAGTTTTATTTTAACACAAACGTGCAAACTTCACAAGACATGTTACCTCGAAATGGGATTTACTAGCAATCAGGTTATGACATACGGATAAAATGATAAAAACCCTCTGCTTTATTTTCCATGCACCATGTATAATTTTAATTCAGTTGTTTCTCATGTTTTATTTTTGGTAAAACAAGTCATACTCTGTTTAAAATACACTGCCCTGTGTTTACTCATCATTTGTGTTAACTTCATTCAACTTGATTCAAACAAAGAACATATTAAAAGTTATAATGTTTCTTGAATATCTAAACATGTATATAATAAACAAGACATTTTCACCATATGAGTATTATTAATTTAATTGTTTTTCTTTATTGTATATTGTCCATGGTTTTTGATGCAAACAAACAAAAGACCAGAAACACTGTAAAATGTACCTTTAGCTCACACCACGTATACATGCAAAATACTGTACGATGCATTTTTTTAGGTTAAATATTTGACCAGCGTTTTTTTTTACTGTAAAGAAAACAAACAAAGAAAACAGGGTTGCATTACATTATTTAATTTAAGTATTGAACCCCATACCCATCATAGTTTATATGCCAACTAAAAAAGGTACACACTAAAAGACACACACAAAAGTGAGCATTGCTTTGTTTGTACACAGTTTATTACATTTTCATAACATCCTAGAGCTGAACAAACCATATGACAGGGAGTCAAAGTGACTTGTACTGGATGATAATAGACTATTGGCCACTTGATGATGTTGATGGTCAAACTCCTCCCTATAACAGTCCGCAATACATTCACTTTCAATCACAGCCTATCTATTAAACCTGGAGAGCATAGCTACATGTTCAACACGCTTACTGGCAAGGGAGCAATTCATCAAATTCAAGTCTCATCAACTTAATTGGCTACTTAATGTATCTGGAGATCTGGGTTCTTTGTTTTTCACATTCCAGGCTGGGTGCTGGTGTCTTTCACCTTGCCGACAGAATACTGGCAGTTATCTACACTTGATGGAACAGTAGTTACCACAGTTACACATTTTTCTAATCTGTGGAAGATATTTTCGATTTGATTGGAGTCTCTGACTGCAAAGACTTTCCGTCCATGATGGCACTTGATAGTCTGGTATTTGTTTCCTTTATTTCTGAATGCTTGTTTGTTGACTGCAATTATTTCTTAACTTAAGGTTTTTGCCAAAACATGTACATTTATTTTCGGTTTTTGTATCTGTTTCCTTTTTTGTTTAAAAGCGAATATTAAATGGATGAAATTAATTGCATTTTTAAGTTGGGGTTGTATGAGTTCTCCATTGTATATGCTCTTTACTCTGTCATCAGAAAGCCTTACAGGCATTAGGTTTTTTACATTTCTATGTTTGGTCGAGTGCTGCAGATCAATCCCCAGTTTTCAAGTGTCTTAAAAGTGTTCAACCTCGGCTCTAATTCAAATGAATTGAATAAGCTCATTACATTACATTACATTACATTGCATTTAGCTGACGCTTTTATCCAAAGCGACTTACAATAAGTACATTCGACCAGGAAGACACAACCTTGAAGAAAACAGAATCATATAAGTATATCAGGTTTCATAGAGCCAAACATTTCAAGTGCTACTCAACTGGCTTTAGATAAGCCAGTCCTTTATTAGTATATAAGTGCTTCGTTAATCGTTCTAACGCTCGAAGTGGAGTCGAAAGAGATGAGTTTTCAGTTTGCGCCGGAAGATGTGCAAGCTATCTGCCGTCCTGATGTCAATGGGGAGCTCATTCCACCATCTTGGAGCCAGGACAGCAAACCCACGTGTTTTCGCCGATGGGAACTTGGGTCCCCCTCGCAGCGAGGGCGCAACGAGTCGTTTGGCTGATGCAGAGCGTAGTGCACGCGCTGGGGTGTACGGTTTAACCATGTCCTGGATGTAGGAAGGGCCAGATCCATTCGCAGCACGGTAAGCAAGTACCAGTGTCTTGAAGTGGATTCTAGCAGTTACCGGAAGCCAGTGAAGGGAGCGGAGGAGCGGAGTGGTGTGGGAGAATTTAGGAAGGTTGAAGACCAGACGAGCCGCTGCATTCTGGATGAGCTGCAGAGGTCGGATGGCACATGCAGGTAGACCAGCCAGGAGGGAGTTGCAGTAGTCTAGGCGTGAGATGACGAGAGCCTGGACCAGAACCTGAGTCGCTTTCTGAGTCAGCTGGGGACGTATCTTCCTGATGTTGTAAAGCGTGTATCTGCAGCAACGGGTTGTAGCAGCGATGTTTGCAGTGAAGGACAGGTTGTTATCTAGGGTCACACCCAGATTCCTTGCAGTCTGAGTCGGGGAAACAACTGAGGTGCCGATGTTGATTGTCAGGTCAAGAGTTGGACAATCTTTTCCCGGGAGGAAGAGCAGCTCAGTCTTGTCAAGGTTGAGCTTGAGGTGGTGAGCAGACATCCACTGAGAGATGTCAGCTAGACAAGCAGAGATTATTACTCAGCACTTAGATATCCTAAGGCCTAATGAGTTAAGGAACAACTCGTTCACTTCCAGATACGTAAGTGTTGAAGCTTGAAAGCTATAAAAGAGATTTAGCAGGAGCCTCGGCTCACTAGTTTTAGCGGGTAATTTTCAAGGTAATATGAATGAGACCCTTTTGACAAGAAAGTGACTGCAAAGTGCCTGAAAACGATTAGGGTTGCTTGTGACAAGATATGTTTCTTGCTTTACTGTAGGTGTCAATCTGTTGCAAGGTCAGTAACCCATTGATGAGAAAATAGAGGAAATGCAAAACCCCGGAGAAGAGCCAAAGTAAGTCAAACTGATTGCACAAGCATGCATGGGATTGATGATTTCAGCTATCTGTTTGGGATTTTTTGTTTCAACACTAGACCTTGTTGGAATTAAATGGACCAACATTGGCGAAACTGACAAAAACAAAGCCATAATTGCCTGCTTTGGCTGGTGTACATTTCTTACTTAGTGCTGGTGAGTATAGGTGAATAGTTTGTGTAATATATATTCACACAACAAGAACTGTGTGACTGAACTGACTATAATTAGGTGAGCAGGATAGGTTCCATATTTCAAAGTTTTTCCGTTTAAATTACAGAAATGTTTTGTGCGTTTATTATTTCTTGATACTAACATGGAGTATGCACAATAATATATATATATATATATAAATATATATATAAACATATATATATATATGAACTATATCCAGGTATGACCTTCCTTAACTCCTTTATTTTTGTTCATAGCAGAGTTGACAGGTTTTAATTGCATGTTACGTTTTTAGATTAACAATAACAAATGTTGTGTATTATATAATCATATTTCTCAGGAAAGTCCTTGTCATGATGTGCCAACATATTCTTAATGAACTATTATTATCCTGTGGAAATGATAAGCTGATGACGGCAGGTGTATTGTACTAACAACAAACACATGACCTTAGTGACTGTCACAAAACATTGGAATCACAATTCAAGGCATACTGTAGCATGTGATGATGTACACAAACCAAGTTGGGCCTGTTTGTGTGTGTGTGTGTGTGTGTGTGTGTGTGTGTGTGTGTGTGTGTGTGTGTGTGTGTGTGTGTGTGTGTGTGTGTGTGTGTGTGTGTGTGTGTGTGTGTGTGTGTGTGTGTGTGTGTGTGTGTGTGTGTGTGTTCCCCCTTTAGTGCTGGAAACACAGTGTGCAGTTTCAGCAGTGTTCAAGAGCTGCTGTGCCATTGCTAGTATTTGCTTTTTCTCTGTCTAGAGACTCAACTTCAAGGCAAGCATGAGTTACAGGACTGTGGTGATGTACATGGAGATTGGCTGCTTTATTGTCTGTGTATTTGGATGGATCCTGGTGTGCTCCACCATGCCCACAGAGATCTGGACATGGTCTGAGGTAGACAGCATAGTCTTGACCACTTCAAACTACTTCTCCAACCTGTGGAAGGATTGTATATCTGATTCAACTGGAGTTTCTGACTGCAAAGGAATTCCATCAATGCTTGCACTAAACTGTAAGTAAAATGATAAAAGATGATAAATAATTTTAAAAGATCCTTAATCTTTTGTAACTGCATCTTGTCATGTATGCATAATATTGTTTTTTTTTGCTGTCCTTGGACAGGGGACATACATATGTGCCGTGCTCTCATCATCATCTCTATTATACTGGCTTTTTTTGGATCAGTGCTGGTCCTGGTGGGAATGAAGTGCACTAAAGTTGGGGGATCAGAGATTGTTAATGCAAGAGTGACCTTTGCTGGTGGGATGAACTACCTTATCGGAGGTAAGACTTTACATAGACCTCTTTAAGTTATTTAACAATAAACTACATTATTAATCTCAAGATTAATAATGTAGTTTATTTTTTATATTTCAGGTCTGTGTTCAATGACCGCTTTCTCTTATTATGGAAACAAAATCAGAGCAGAATTTCAGGACCCAAACTACAAAGCTCAGAAGTACGTATTATTAAGTGACATGGATAACTACAAACTTGCCTTATTTCAAATATCAACATTTATAACATTAATCTATGAAGAAAGAAATGTACATTCATATACTTTTCTTGTATAAACTGCCAGGTTTGAAATAGGTGTTGGTGTCTTTATTGGCTGGGGAGGCTCCACTTTACTTGTTGTTGGAGGCCTTATTTACAGTATCTTTGCAGGGAGGGAAGGATTCGTCTCAAGGTAAAATGCTGCCACTGTATACTTAGTTTTTTTCTCCATCATTTGATTATTTCCACAAAAAAATAACCATCTATTTCTTCTTTACTTTGAACCTTGCAGTCCTAAAAAAGACCCTGACTACCAGTTGCCTATGGACTACAGAAGTGTTGCAACAAAAAAAAGTATTGCGTCTGTGGCAATTACAGCGACGTCTTATGGAAGGACCACCACCAGTGATAGTATTGGGAGCAGGATTTCTGAGATCACTTCTACCACATCCACATCCGCCACAAATGCATATGTATGACTTAATTTCAAAGGTTGAAAGATGAAATGCACGGGTGGGCTTATCATTAGATTTATTTTAAATTATAAAATGTTTTTCACCGCAGACACATTCACAAATAAGGAACGGCTCTGTGTCCCAAAACCTGTGTATTAGTTATTTCGATATGTTGCTGTTGTAGTAATAGTTTGAACAATGTATATATTAACATATAATAAATATTGTAAGATGTTTTGGAAATTTGCAATAAAGCTAAACGCTGAAAAAAACATTTATATATTACACTTTGTTTCCCCCGGACCATCATCAGGATTGAAATCATTCGCATTAATTGTCATGATGGAAAGTATCGAAGTGCATTTACTTGAACACTGTTTTTAAATGGGACATACTATGCTCCTATGTTTAATTAGAACCACCATTTTTTTTTGTGTGAACCGCTCAATGACCTACATCTCCCGTCTCGCACCACACACCAAGACGGCCGTCACGTTGGCACATTTCACTTCTTTCTTTCAGAATGAGGCGAAAAGTATTAAAAGAGGTTAAAATCACTACAAGTCTGGGCATGTTGAGAGCTGTACATACACACAAGGGGAGTTAGTCGGTTCCGTAAGAGCCAGCATGTGAGACCGGGATTCTGGGATTTGTAGTCTTTCTAGTTGCGTATTTTTCATAGTCTTATATTTCAGCAGTTGTACGACAAACTGTGACTTTTTTTACATGGAAATTATTATTTAAGATTGACAAACATCATATGTGTAATTCGTGGCACAATTCAAACGGGATCGAAAGATAATCTTTCTCTCTCCATTGACTTCAATACAAACTTTTTGCGAAATAAGGTCCCATGAGTCCCACCGGAAGGAGGGACTTCGCCTCTCTATTGGTCATGTGTGTCACTACCATGGTCACTCACTACCCGATCCGTCCCCCTGCCCGATCGGTACTGCGCATGTGCGAGATGGTCCGCCATATTGGACAACTCCGGACGGCAACCCAAGAAGGACACTTGACACAGTGGCTTTTAGCAAAGCTCAAAAAGAAAACTCGAGAGAGATGAGTTATTGTTATTACAACGTGACTTCACTATTATTTAACAACTCTTTTTATTAGGTTATTTTATTTGGGGTTAAGTACATTGTCAGAATAAGTGAGAAATGAATTTAACTTCTGTTAGACAGCTATCATACTGAATAAATATTTTCCAGAGCATGATCCAGAGCATGATCCAGAGCATGATCCAGAGCATGATCCAGAGCATGATCCAGAGCATGATCCAGAGCATGATCCAGAGCATGATCCAGAGCATGATCCAGAGCATGATCCAGAGCATGATCCAGAGCATGATCCAGAGCCGCTCTGGACGGATCGGGTAGTGACAATGTGCGCGTTCGTGTGTGTTGGAGGAGGGGCTCTGTAAGGAAGTGGCAGATTTTCTCCGGTTGTGTATTTTCAAATTCTAGCGCAGTCAAGCTGGTTTCTCCGAAATTACCTACCCCACCTTTACGTTTATGAATATTATTAAAGAATACAAATCCCTCTTTGCAATGTTTTCTAGCCTCCTTAGGCTTTTTAATCACAATCATTTAACTGGAATATATCAAGTTTCAAGATTCAAGGCTTTATTGTCATGTGCACAGTAGTTACAGAGTAGCCTAGATATGGCAATGAAAAACGTAGGTCACAGGGTCCTCCAACAGCGTAACATGAATATAGGACATAAAACAAATAAAACAGATACAACAGTGCAAGGGAATGTTTTGAGATGTGCAAGTTAATACAAATAAAAAAGAAATAGTGCAAGAACAGTCTATATACAAGTAAATGGAATATTATATATCATATAAATAATTAGCAAAATGAAAACAGATGAGTGTTTATGGATGTTCTTTAAAAAGTGCTGGTGTGTAATAGTCTTATGGCCTGTACAATATTGATACAAATTGATTACATGAAAATATGATTTCATACTCGTTGTTTAGAGTTATTCTAAGGCTTTACTCATTGGGAACTCGGTATAAGAAAGATCACACTGTTGAGATGTCATATCTGCCTGTTTTACACACGTTGACCAACAGGGGCAGGGCCGGCCCTCGGCATAGGCAGTATAGGCGAATGCTAAGGGCACATCAACCCATAGGGGGCGCCGAAAATTGGGGGAAAAAAAAAAAAAAGTTAGAAATTAAAAAAACATTTTTTTTTAAATTTCATAACACAATTTCCCGATTTTGGATAAACAAAGTACATCTTATCTTATAGTAACAGAACTACGCCTATATTGCGTACAGCACCCATAAACTATGGCACACCCCCCCCAAATCAAATTGAACTGCCCCAGTAAAAACCAGAGGTTTATGTGAAATTGTTCCTTTTTTTAAATAATGGTTTTAGTGTGCAATTATAGGTTTTAATTTTGTATTTGTGTTAATTTAAAATAAATCAAACGCCCAAAAAACGTACACAGCTTCTGTGTGCTTTTATTAACATTGGAATTTACTGTGTAAGCGACCGCGGGGGGGGGGGAGAGCTTTAGAGAGCTCTCTCCTGAAAGACTGAGCGGCTCTGATAACCTCAGCTCAGTGAGGTAAAGGCACACCTTTATATGATCATTATAGTTATAAAAAAATAAGAGAATAGGTGAAAAACAGGTATAAAATACTATATGACAGTACAAAAAACAAGAATACAGTTTGAAAGGGGAGTGATTTGTAAAATATCCATAAAGAAGAAGAAAATCTGCTTACAGTTCTGTTTCATATGGGTGTTGAGAGGTGTATCCATAGATTTCCTAATGTTGCTCTCAAAGTACACCAGATTGATCCTTTTAACTTCAATATTTAAAAAAATCACTTAAATCATGTTCAAATGGATAGGAAACTAAATACAGTTACAGTCTTTCTGTTTTGGTGGTCATGCCACAACCGTGTTTGGGGGGGGGGGGGGCGCCAGCTAAAAATATTGCCTAGGGCAGCAAATCGGTCAGGGCCGGCCCTGAACAGGGGGGGTTTGTGTTCATGAAGCCTCATGGATGTATAATAAGGGTGAACCCTACAGTCTGGTGAACCCTTTTGCGAACCAATTGGCTTCAAAGCTTCATAAGGCTTCATCTCGCCATCACTACATATTGGTCCCCACAACAGTTGCCTGATCCTGAGTGGGACCCACAAATGTAGTAAACCCAACTCACACACACAAATACACACAAAAAATGATGACATATCTTGTGCTGCCGTGGCTCCTCACAGTTGAGCCAACAGAGGTGGGCGGGGCTTTCTAAACAATCCAGCCAATCACAGTCCCCCACGACCGGCCACTTTCGTTTGCTGCCCCACTGTGAGTGACTGGGAAAGGACTGGAGAAGCAATGCTCAATAGCAGTCAACACATGGGACTGTGGAGAATTAAGTGAGACATTACTTAAAATAAGATCTGCTGAAGTGTGTGTTACATAGCGGGATTGGACCTATCTGATGCACATCTAACCATGGTTTCCATCGACCATGTTGCTCACAAAGTACTGACTTACATCCCATATGTTCTTGTTTTGATTGACCTGAGATATGAAGGTAAGGAGCTGAATAACGTTATACTTTACTTGGCAACTAGCATATCACTTTGAACAAAGTTTAGACAGCCTGCTTGTATTCAAACTGTTTATAGTCATGTCAATGGTAACGTTAGCTAGTAAAATCGATATCAGATGGCTAACATTGAGCTAGCTTATCACTTGTGTTGTTGTCGTTTTTAGCTGATTAGTTAAACAACGTTTAACCTATACGTGATTGAACAATCAATTGTACCTTTGCAACGTTAGCTTGTTAATGTTATTGTCTTTGTGTAAGCTGACCTATCGTTAACTCACAAAGTATGACAGCTAGCTTAACCTAGCCTACATGTCAAAGTAACCTCTCTGTCACTCAACGCTACTGACTTACTGTATGCTAAATGGTACCGCATGTCAGAGGCAATGAACATGAATACATTAAGAATGGAGAACTGTATTGTACTTACTGCTCTGTGGCAATATGCTCCGTATTGTGTTGCAGGATACAGTGGGGTAAAGTAACTAAGTAGATTTAAGTACTGTACTTGAATAACATTTTGAGAAGCTTGTACCTGAGTAATTTAATGTTTTGCTACTCTGTACTTCTACCCCACTACAATATATATTCATTTAATACCTTTAATAACTTTACAGATTTTGTTTAATGATGTGAAATACAATTAACATTTAAATAAGACTTTAGTGTGCAAAATTCACAATCTACCCTGCAACATTCAAAGGAATCCAAACTAGCTGCACCTTTACCAGCTTTGATAATATTTTAATGCATCAATAGTTATAATCAAAACATATACTATATATTATTATGAAATGGGCTATTGTGTACTGTATAATGAACACATTTACTTGTGGTAGTTTAAATATATTTTCATGCTAATACTTTTGTACTTTTACTTGATTAACATTTTGATTACAAGACCTATACTTGTAAGAGGGTAGTCCTACACTCTTTTACTTAAGTACAAGATCTGAGTACTTCTTCCACCTCTGGCAGGATATCAGTATTGTGTGTTATTTTCAGGAGTGAAATGTGGCAGGGATGGGAGTGTGGACAACCATATGGAGATGGGAAAGAAACTGCTCGCTGCTGGCCAGCTAGCCGATGCTCTCTCTCATTTCCATGCTGCTGTGGGTAAGTAGCAGACATTCTTTATGCACAAAAGGTGTAACATTTTTGTACAACAGGGAATATGATTAAACCATGTTTTCATCGATGTCATGTCAGACGGAGACTCCAAGAACTACATGGCGTACTACAGGAGAGCCACAGTGTTTCTAGCAATGGGGAAGTCAAAGTCTGCACTGCCAGATTTGAGCCGAGTTATTGAACTCAAACCAGACTTCAAATCTGTAAGTTTCTATTTTCACCTCAGTTGGTCTGAAATGATATGTTTTACATAGTTGCACAGCTTCAATTCATACTGCAGAATGCAGAACTGTGCGAGCAATTGGTTTAATCAAACAATTGGAAGAAACTGGTATATTTGCCTTTACAATATACATATGTGCAAATAGTTAAGACACACAGCTGTGCTGGGAAACTGGCCAGTAATGTCAGCTGTGGTGATAAGTCTATTTGTACTTTATGCAAAACATGTCCTCCCCCTATCTTAACAGGCACGCCTCCAGAGAGGAAATCTCCTCCTGAAGCAGGGAGGACTCGATGAAGCAGAGAGGGACTTTAAGACAGTGGTAAGTACAGGAATGTCCACTTTAAACTCCACAGCAACAACACTAAGAAGTCACAATTTGGTGTAAAAGCAGAGATTACCAGGAGGTGTCAGTGTTGAACTGTTTCCTGATGTTAAAGGGAAACTAATCTCAAGCATGAAAACTCAAT